ACCGAACCCCCAAACTCTTCTAACACTTAGAAAACATCAGTGAACACGGATGGCAAATATTCTCTGCTCTTCAGGAGTGAATGTTCACTCTCTTGGAGGGGACACACATTAACATGAAAAAAGGCACATTATACTCAGTAAGTTAGACAGTAAAATAAGAAAGAGAGGAACAGGTTGACTGGGACTGAGAGAGATGACTAGGGTTAAGCTTCTTGGAGAAGATGAAATTTGAGCTATGGTCTGAAACAGGTGAAGGGTTTAGTCAAAGAGTATCTGCAGAGCAGAGTGTTCCAGGCAGAAAACAACAAAGATTATAAGCATGTGCAGAGGCTGTGCTGGAGGTGCTGGAGGGCAAAGTGAAGCAGAAAGGATAGGGGCCAGAGGCCAGCCCAGCAAGGGCACAGGAGTGGGGCGCTTTGTGGGTCGCCGTGAGAACTGTGGACAAGCTGACAGTAGAAACACTTTCTCATGTGTGTAAAGAATTACCTGTGAGGGCAGTCAGCAGGGAGAAAGGTAGACAGATGGACTTACTTTAAAGGAAGAATCAGTAGCATTCACTGTACAATGAACATGAGAGAGTAACCATGGACAATTCAAATTCCTGCCTCGAGCTATAAGAAGGGAACTGTCTTCAATAGAAATCAGGATGGCTGTCGGAAGGGTAAGTTTGAAGTCGGTAAGGAGAAATGCTGACAATTCTATTTATTAGACATCTATATTGTCTTATTAATTATGCAGCCAGACAGATACAAGAATGCAGACACTGGGGAAGGTGTGGGCTAGCAGTAAACATTTAGGAAGTCTCAGCAAACAATTTTCAGAATCAAAGGTTAAAAGTAGATCATCTAGAGGGTAAACTGGACAGAGAAAAAAACCAACAAAGACTACAGACTTCAGAGCCCTCCAACATTTGTGTGGAGTCCCTAAAAGCCAAGTAAAGAAAGTCTGCTAAGAAAGAAAAAAGAAAAGAAAAGAAGAGTACTCACACACCAAAAGCTGGCCTGCCAAGTGAGATAAACACTGCCTTAACACTGCTGAGGACCATCAGGGACCTCGATGAGAAGAGCTCTACAGTGAGGTGGGGGCACAGGCCTGCCTACAGAAAGCCAATTCTTGAGTAGTTCTGCTGTAGGGGAAGACACAATTATAGCAGCAGCTAGAAGCACTAATGTCGTCAGGTTATGGGAGAGGTTTGGGGGGACAGTTCTGTGATAGAGCACTTGCAGTACTTGGGTCCAATACAACACAGAGTGATACTAATAAGGAGTAATCGTTAAAGTGACAGTCTCTAACAGAAAAATGAGACAGAATCTAATTTAAGAGTAGAAGAATCGGCTTCGCCTGAGAACATGACACTTAGTAGGGCCTTGGTAAATATTTGTTGAAAGAACAAAATCTTTGGCTACCAAAATGAATAATAGTGGTCACCGAACAGGAAACATCAAGTTTGGTTTAATTGAAAATAGGTGAATTCAGAAGTTCACCTATCAGACGTACTTTCGTTTCAGTTGCTCTCGTTTCTTCACTACAAAGAACTCCTCAATATTACTTCAGTGCTCTTCTTTGCCCAATTAAAAAACCACCAAACTTCATTTTACTTCAAAGATGCACCATCAAGAGATAAACTCTAACCAAGATGCTGGCCAAGGGAAAGGTGCATGGAGCCTACTTACCATTTTCATCGACAGCAAGTACACTCGCTCCTTTCCCCAGAAGCTCCTGAACAACCATCGTTAGCCCGTTTCGGGCAGCAACATGCAGAGGTCTGTGGGAAAAATTGTACAGGTATAAGCGGTGCACACGCAGATACACACCTGGCCGCCAGAGAACATTTGGCCAGGTTGTGAAGACCTAGAGGCACAACCCTGAGACCCAGTTCTCAGTCAATGAATGCGGGAGGGCAGCAGTGCCTCCACAGAAAGCTCAGCCTTAGCCATCGGTAGCAGTTTCCTGACCTCGTCAAACTCACTGCACCTTCCAAGACTCCTTATTTAAAGAGTCAACCAAATGAACTACATTCTTCAGATGCATATATGTATTTATAAATTTATTGTATTTTGAGGTTATAATTACATCATTTCCTTTTTCCTTTTCTTCCTCTAAACCCTCCCATATACTCCTCTTTGCTTTCTTTCAAATTCATGGCACCTTTTTTTCAGGGCTGACCAATGGTATTAGATTAATGTGCTCTTCCCTAGAGAAGATCATTTCTTGCTCTCAGCATTCCATAGGTACTAGTGGTAGTTCTTTGTAAAGGAGCTGAGGCCTCCTGGGCTTACACTAATCCACTTTGAGATGGCTATTGTTGTCCTTGTTTATGTCATATTTAGGCAGTCATTCTGGCAAGACTTTATGGGTGTAGTGTCTCACTTTACCACAAAACAGTCCCACAAAAAAATTCCCTGACTCTGGCTCTTATCACCTTTCCTCCTCTTCCACAATGTTCCCTAAATTTTAGGTGCAGGAGTTTTTTATAAATGTATCCACTGGGACTGGGTGAGCTACAGTTTTAACTTACTGTTTTAAGAAATGAAGTTAGCAAATACACAATAAAAGCTATGAAGTGCTTCTGATAATCTTTAAAAGATGTTTACTGGTCCTGTGACTAATATTTGGATCTTTGAGGGATTTGACTGAACCCAGAATATGAGCTATTTCAAGCTTAAAACAAAACAAAACAAAACAAAAAGGATACTGAGAGAGGATGGTGGGAGACGTGGGCCTAAGAGCTCAGTCAAAACTGAAAAACAAACAAACAAACAAACAAACAAACAAACAAACAAACCAAAAAAAACCCTGAGCAGTGGTGGCGCACACTTTTAATGCCAGCACTCGGGAGGCAGAATCCAGCCTGGACTACAGAGTGAGTTCCAGGACATCCAGGGCTAAAACAGAGAAACCTCCGTGTCTCAAACAAAACGAAACAAAACAAACCCTCAGTCAAACTCAAGGCTCACTGCTTATATTAAGAGGCTATTTCTTTCTGAAACCTCTTTAAGCTTAGCAAGTATACACACACACACACACACACACTTATAGTATGAAATGGCACTTTTCAGATGATTTTGATAATATACAGAATAAGCACTATCTTCCTTTAGAAAATTGTATGAATAAGAAATTCATTATCATCAATGTTGTAATAAGGTTTCAGTTCAAAAAAATTTTTTTTAAGTATTAGAGCTTTTAGTTGTATTATTTCAGAAATGAGGTCTGACAATTGTAAAAACTATTCTTTAAATAGTTTCTGACTGGTCTATCCTATTTGTCACATTCTTTAAAAGTGCATTTATTCTTTTTTAAAATTATAGAGGTCACTAAGTTTAACTAGACCCTCAAAGTACTCACGTTTGCAAGGCTGCGTTGGTTGCATTGATGAGGTTTCTATCTGTTATCTTTTCCAGTATTAACAAGGCACTAGTTTCATGACCCTAAAATTGTGGCAAATAGCTCTTAAAAAAACATCACAATATTAAGAATAAACATAAATCCAACCATTTCTAAAATATGCACAGTATTATAAACATACCACACTTTTTCTAAGCTAATGTCTGAAGTTTCAAAGGTATCAGAAATGGGAAGAAGACAGGTCTGTAAGAATCAAGTGTTAAGCTTATGTTTCAAAACCTAGTAAGCCAATACTCCCCACTAACCCGCCCCACCCCACCCAAGAAATTCAGTGTTAGTAATCACCAGGTTTGCCTCCTACTTCTGTTCATTTTAGTGAACTGGAAAAACTTAATGCCACTCAAGAGTAACCATGAAAATACATCCTTAAACTATGTACGCACCTTGCCGCAAGCCAAATGAAGGGCGGTGTTTTTACTCTTATCTTGTAAAGTCAGATCTGCACTGGCGCTGCTAACCAGCATCTCTGGGAGAAAAAAGCGCATCAAGTCTTATGTTTATGAACATGTTTTTTTTTTTTTTTTAGATTACCAATAACTCATTGTAGAGAAATGGAAGACATAAAGCAAAAAAAAAAAAAAAAAAAGATCCCTCTTGCAAATAATTAATTACAAGAAAAACACTACGTTACTTATTACCATATAATTATGTGGAACTTTTATATTTTTAAGCAAATCAGATAGTAGAAATAATAATTAACATTTTGGAGTTAATAAATTTCAAACAGCGTTTTATGTGCTCTGGATTTATAGGAACTTATTTAACTCTCACATCAATCTTTTAAAGTAGATGCTGTCATTTTTCTCATTTTGCAAGTAAAAGAACTGAGGGAGGTCATTTAATTATATCTAAGACTTAGACTTATGCAACATGATTCCAGAGCCAATGTTATTAAACCATGAGGTTAAACTACCTTGATAAAGCTTTTCAGCCATTAAGGGCAATGGTCTAAAATGAAAATGTGGAATGGTGAGATAATTCATGGAAGTCAGAAGGGCTGGGAATCTAAATTATACACATAGAACAAAATTACTCTTTAAAAAAAAAAAAATCATCGTGGGTTGTGCCTTACTACCTAGCCCAAAGTGGCCTTACACTTGTAATCTTCTGACAGGCTCTTGGGCACATACTAAGCCTGGTTCTAAACAACGTCTCTTTTCTTATGGAGATACTATGCAGTCAAGGCTAAGCCGCAAACTAAGGCAGTTTTACTGCCTCAGCCTTCTCTAAATAGTTTCTTTACCAACTGTATTGGTTTGCCCGTTTTCTGCAGCCATCATGAGAGGTGTTTTTCCAGTAGAGTCCACAGAATTGACTTGAGCATTATGGCTGAGCAGCAGCTGTAAACACTCTACATGGTCTGTGAAGGCAGCAGCATGGAGAGGAGTTCTGGGCAGAGTGAAATACAACAAACATTAAATGGCACAGACACTGGAAAAATTATGCCCTACTTTAGAACAAAAAAATGTTCAAAGATTTACATATGTTACATACGTTATGAAAGCATTGTGAAGAAACAAATAAGCTCAATGGAACTAGTTTCTATTTTAGAAATGTATTCTCTACATAATCTAAACAATCTTCAACTATAAGTTGCCTAAAATAAAGATGAACTACGTAACACTGTTAAAATAACACTATATCATTAAAGAAAACTTAAAGGAAATAAATGTTTATCCCCAATCGACTACTTATTACAATTGCTGGACAGTTCTTCCAGTCTTTAATCCAATTTAGAAAACTGTTAACTTTTTAAGCAATTTTCTCTGGGTTTAAAATCATACTTCTTAAAACAGAGTAACCTTCATACCTTAAAATAAAATGACAAAAAATTAAAATTCCCTAATAATGTTGTTTAGTTGTGAGTTCTCTATAAGCTCTCAGATGGTCAGTAGTCACCATATTTTCTCTTATTGGAAGTAATAATGGATACTACTAGTTGGAATCCTACCTTCCCTTTGAATCTGTGGCATTCACAATGCTGGCTCCTAAGGTGTCAATAAGCATCTCAGCAGCACCTTCATTGTCATTAATCCTGGACAAAATAACAAAGAGGTTGGTCTCACAGTAATAACAGTCTTTCTTAAAACAGCCCAATTTGATTCAGTATGGCTTTACTTACACAGCACAGTGCAATGGACTGAAAGCATTTCCATCTATTTTCTGGAAAACATCCTGTTCTAAAAGTAGTTCCACACATGTCTCATGACCTAATAGGTGCATAAGAACTATAAATTAACATCCAAGACATACTTGAAAAAAGTTTTAAGTCCCTGCCCCAACCCATCTCCACTCTTTAGACTGTAACTAATGATCTCAAAAGCTCTAGAAATTTTCTAGGCATATAAAGCTGCCTGCACACACTTATTTTCCTTTTATAGTTCAAATGGTATCCTTTGTTCTGCAACTTTCCTTTTCAATTAATAAACTTATGTATCTTTTAATAAGAGCACACACATGACAATGTCCTAAAGCATGGTTTTGTGAGATAGGACAAGTACCCTGACTGTTGAGAGAAGTAGGGGGAGAGTTTTTAAAAAAGCAACCTTAAAACCAAACCAAACCAAACCAAACCAAACCAAACCAAACCAAACCAA